TTATGTGTTAAAACCAAAGGTTAAGAGTTCGATTCTTGACTTTGAGTATGAAGCAGTCTAAAATCTCTAGGCCAGCTGTCCCACCCAAAAGAGGTTCCTACAATCTAGAGAGGAGATTAGCCATTGTGTCCGACGGTGAAAATCCTGGGTATACCCAAAAAGAAAAAACTTTATGTGTTAAAATAATAAAATTTCTAAGATAAGATAATATATTCTATGGGTTAGAATAATATACTTTATGTGTTAGAATAATGTATTTTATGAGTTAAAATAATATATTTTATGTATTTTTTAACAGTGATCCATGAATAATGATTGACCACGGTGTCGGTTGACTTGGGAGCAAATGTATAAAAGATATAGCTAACGAATTTTCAGGACACAAATTTGACGTTGAGTTTTCATATCAAAATTTTGGGCCACATCCATGTGGGCTTGTAGGACTTGCAATCCTTATATCAAGGATGGATTTCATATTACATCAATCATTATTATTACATTATTTAAACTCATATAAAATATATTATTCTAACACATAAAGTATATTCTTCTAATTCATAGAATCTATTATCTTACTCTAGAAATTTTATTGTTCTAATACATATAAAGTACATTATTTTAATATATAAAGTACATTATTTTAACTCATAAAATACATTATCTTATTCTAAAATATCCATTATTATAACATGCACATGGTACATGGAGCAAAGAATTTTTTAAAATATAAAATAAACGTCGTTTTAGACTATGGTCCACATAGTTATATTTGCCCGACCTCCAAGCATACCCGTATTAAATTCTTCTGTCCAATAATTCCTTTCCAACAAATAAATTAAGAAAATATCACTCCGTACTTGGCAATTTATATCGTGCACCAGAGCGCGCATTGCATTGTGCGCCCTGATGCAAAACGACGTCGTTTTACATAGCTGTATAAAAAAATATACATAATTGTATAAACAAATACACATAATTGTATAAGCAAACACACATAACTGTATAAAAAAATACACATAATTGTATAAACAAATACACATAATGATATAAACAAACACACATAATCACGTCAACTCCCTTCTGCGCCTTCCAAACCAACATCGTTTTGAGAGGCGTGGGACGCACAGTGCTGCGCGCACCGTGGTGCAGGGTATAACAATTGCTCCGTACTTTCTTCTAAAAATGTATACTCTTAATAAGAATCTGCATTTAGATGGTTACTCACCAATCGTCATGTGTACAAAATCTTTAAAATATGGAAGCTATTAAAGTCCCCTACTCCGTACTTTTTTTTCTTTTCCCTTCAAAAAAAAAAAAAGTCCCCTACACCGACAGATGAGAATGGACTTTCTTGATCAAACATATTCACTGGAAAAATTAATTTATGTACTCCAAAACATTAATTTAGTAGATAAAAAGTGATACTTAAAAATTAAAATTTGTTTTCAACAATAAGTAGAGGTCTGATCACTGCCAGGAACTAAAGTGTACAATTATATATATATATATATATATATATATATATTAGGATTCCATGAAAACACACCCCAAGAAAAAATTGAGAACCAACATTTGCTTTACATCTGTAAAAATTGAACGAACCAAATCAAATTTTTTTAAAAAGGCGATGGTATTTTCATAATTATCACCAACTTTATTTTGCAACTTGAGATAATTTAATATAAGACTTATTCAAAAATCAATGGTATTATACAATATTAAAAAGATGATGGCATGCCAAGCCTTTTGTACACAGATGACACATCTGTGACTCTTCTTAAGAAAATGTCACAGAATCAAACCTTGGTGATATAGAACAAATACTACCTTATAATAGCCCTTACTTTGTAATAGAGTCAGTAGTACTCAAAAAAATAATAACAATGGCATAATTGTAATTATGTAGAAGTTTTAATAATTAATTGAAAATCATGTTAACATGTGTGTATAATGTATAGGTTTATACACTTTTAAAATTCAGATTTGTACTTTTAGACTTTTTGTGTGTTTGTTCTGTTTTTTTTTTTTTTTTTTTTTTTTGGTTAAATATTTTTTTAGGTGAGGATGACACTTTTAAAATTTATGTTGTGCAAGTTTCTAATCAAATGCATAGGTAAATGCACACTATGATATTTAACAAATATTTATAATAAAAAAACTCTAAAAATGCACACTACATATGACATTTAAAAGTTTAACTCCAAAACTACACTAGTGAATTTTAGAAACTCTTAAAAGTGTGATGGATATATTAGAAATGGGCTCGGGGCGAACTGATCCGAGGAGAACAACAAGAACTACCCGAGGGGTAACAACCATTATAGCACCGACCTTAACCTTGGGGCGCGTGCTTCCAAGGTTGGCCACGGGCAAGGCCTTGGGTGCCCAACGCGCCTAAGGTTGACCTATGCTTCAGCCTTCAATGCAGTCAAATTGCAACCACCCGCCCTGCATCCAAGGCCGGCCTCGGCCAATGCCTTGGGCACCCAGCACGGGGTGGTTGCATGTTTCGAGCCTAGTATAAATTATTGCAATGTTGTCTCATTAAGACACAACCAATCTACTTGTAATAGTATTACACAAATCTTAATACACATTCTTGTCCTTTCAATACCTTTATCTTATTCCCTTATCATTCCTTTTAATGATTGAGTTATTTAAGTTGGGCTACTCGGGTCAATTTAATCCAGCATTGGTGTTTTCGTTGAGATTTCGACATACAAGGTCAAGCGTGCTACCTATCAACTATGGCAAAGTCGAGGTCCAACTCTCGCGATCCGCGCAATACTCGTGTCTCTTCGAGCGGAAACGACCTCAATGGGAGCGCAATCCAACAAATCCTCTCTATGAGGTCGACGAGGGATCTACAGGATTGACTAAACAACAAGCTGCAACCTTGCTAGCCCGCCTTGTGGAGGGGCTCTAGGGAGGTGTTCTACCCCCTCCACACGGCGCGGAAGCGTCTCAAGGAGTATGAACCTTCACCCCACCCCCTAAGGAGTGGAATGGAGAGTCGAGCACCTGGTCTCCTTGAGAGGTTAACTCACCTCGACCATTTGATAGGTGAAGAGGAGGTGGTACTTGCCAAGACTGGAGAGAGCACCGAGGAGCAGATAGAGGGCGACTGACCCGAACCAAGTCCACCTTGGGGCAGTTGGGTGCCCGAGTACCTGCTCAAGATTGCCTAGGGCCAAGACCGATCGCGAATGATCCACCCTTGGAGGTGTCATTTTTACAAAGGTCTCCAAGCCGCAAGCTCCGAGCTCCGCTGCGACGAGAGCAAGCTTGAAGGGTGAAATGGTCGGTAGAGACTAGTGATTGGGCTTCAAGCTCTCACCATGACGAGGTCGAGTAGCTATAGAGGCGAATAGACGAGCTCCAGATGAAGATAGACGCACGGGACGGATCCCCGGAAGCCCGAGACATGTTGTCCACAAAGTTCACTAAGGATGTCATGGCTGAGCGCCTCCCCAAAGAGTTCCACTTTCCTACAATTATAAAACACATACTACGGCATTAGACCCTCGGATATACCTCACTCGTTACTGAGCAATTATGATGATGACAAGAGCTAACGATGCTATCATGCGTGAGGCTTCTTCACCACTTTGGATGATTAGGCCCAAGATTAGTTTGGGTCATTGTCGGAAGGGTCAATCGCTACTTTCACTAACCTCACCAAGCAATTCTTGTCCTACTTTGCAGGCAACATTTAGAAAAAGAAGCATTTTGCTCATTTGTGCACGATAAGGCAAAAGAGCTCAAAGACCCTTGCTGAATTCCCGAGTACGTGGAAGAGGGAGGTGATGGGGTCTCAGAATTCGAAAGAAAATTAGCTATTTCAATTTTCACCAATGCTTTGAGATCGGGCACTTTCCACCGCGACCTCAACTAGTACCCGCCTAAGAACTATTTCGAGCTGATGAACCGGGCAACAAGATTCGAAAACACCAAGGAGGTCGAGAAGAGGAAGAAGGACAGGAACAAGGTCGAAAGGATAAGGCACCTCAAGAGGCCGTCGCACCGCGAGCACGCTAAGGAGCGTATACTATGTAACTATTAACTATGCATGAAAATATATGTGGTAATCTCTATCTCTATCTCTATATATATTAAAGCAAAATGGTTGGCACAAAAAATTTCCCTCCAAAACTTAGGGGCATTTTTGTAAAACCAAACTCATAATTATTAACTAACCATATATATTTTCATAAAATTTATTAACTAACCATATATTAACCTCAACTTCTCTCATATAAGATTAGACCATGAATGTATGTAATTATCAATTCCATAATTACATATAGGTATAATAGGATAATACTATATTTATATATTATTATATACATATATATCGTACATCATATATAGTTATTAAGATCGTATTTATTTAGGAATGATATATATAATTGGGTAGAATAATTTAATTATATATATTAATTTAAATGTAACCAATTAAAAGGTTTAAAATAATGTAATAAATTATTTTTAAATTATTTGACAAATTGGAATATCGCAAAAGTCTTCGTGCAATTAAGAATTTTTATTTACCATATATAAAAATAGTCTATTAAAAGACTGGATAGTTATTTATATAATAATTATTTTCATATGAACGTATGTAACTGTCAATTCCATTATTTACAATATACATAATATACTTTAATAATGTAAAAAAAAATTAACATTAATTACTACAAATTTATAGGTCGTCGAGTATCATACTAGTATTAATTAATACATATTAAAATATAGTATGTAATTAGTAGAATGCACTCGTTATAGTAATAGTTTAAAATTGGACTCAGCTACTCTAATTCTGATGCGGGATAATGGATAAAATTTATCTGATATACACCATTTTTTTTTTCTCAAAAAAAAATTATATAAATATTCAGCTTAGCTCACTGGTTATTTGGACGGAGATCTAGCATAAATATTCAGTTACCAGCCGTTAACAAAATTTCGATTTACTGGTTTAATAATCTCTATATAACAGCAAGCTCAGAGCCAATAATGGCGATAGCGTTCACAATGAAGCCCTCCATCCACCGCTCTTCTTGGAAATCCAAATGCAAAGTTATACTACTGCCATTGCTCATACTTCTTACGGGAGCTAGTGCCACATCCGGCGGAGGAGCAGCTGCAAACACCACAATTACGAGTAGTGCAGCTATTAATAACAACAGTAATTACAGCGTGACGTACGATCGGCGGTCTCTGATCATCAATGGCCAGCGGAAACTGCTCATCTCCGCCTCCATTCACTATCCCCGCAGCGTCCCCGCCGTAAGTGCCACCGCCAACAGCTAATGGTTCCAGTATTATTTCATTTTAATTCTCTCTTGAAATTAGCACTAGTAGAGCTTGTTAGATATCAATGTAGTGTAACTTTAATTAAATCAAGTTTACCAGAAATTTAACCTTGTAGTAGTGGAAGTGGAAGCTATGTTGGTCTCCAGCCATGTCTTCTCAGTTGTGTTGCCTCTTGAACGGTAGACTTGCAAGTAACATTAGCCGTTTTGTTCTGACTCAGAACTTTAAATGCTGTATTCTTTCCAAAAGGTTGTATCCCCAACCCCAAGGACCCCCACACCCCGGCCCGACAGAGCATCTGGGAGGATGTAAATTATGGTAACTCAACTGGATCACAGAGGCTAGACCTTTGCTTATTATGCACAAGGAGCCCCCTCACTACATAATGCTGTATTGGGGTTATTTTGAGCAGCATGAGTACTGTATATTCTGTATCCCATCAATACATGCTTTATATTGGGCATATATTGACTAACAATTTCTAGTTATTTAGTCTTAGTCAACTTGCACTACATAATTAAGGTCTTAATATATAATATATTATACCAGAAAATCCAACAGAGTGTTAGTTTTTTTTCTTGTACGCTGCTGTTAGTTTCTTTATTAAAAAAAAAAAACAGATTGAAGAATAGACAATAACTGCAACTTGCCAGCTTGCACTACTTTATTTATTTATTGTTGCTTCTCTTGCTTTTGTTCTGGAATTAATTTTAAAGTGCAAAAGGAAAGAAACTGTTGATATCTACATTGTCATTGGTGCAAGATTATACCTTGTGTAGTGTTAGCTTGAAACAATTGCTTGTTATGTTTCCTCCACGTTAATTTCATTTTTTAAAAAAAAGTTTGATCGAAGACTCAAAAGATTCAGATTATTTTTTCTTTTCAGTATTTCCTGATTTTTTAGTTGATGACTCTGGGAATTCATTAGATGTGGCCAGGACTTGTTCAACTGGCAAAGGATGGAGGAGCTGATGTTATTGAAACTTACGTCTTCTGGAATGGTCATGAGCCTTTTCCAGGCAAAGTGAGGCTGCAACTTAACATAGAAATTCACAAAGTCTTCTTCATTCTTCTTTCCTTTCTTAATGTATAATTCAATGTTTTTCCTTGCAATGTCAAACATTTCAGTATTACTTTGGTGGAAGGTATGACCTTGTCAAGTTTTGCAAGATTGTTCAGCAGGCTGGTATGTATATGATTCTTCGAATTGGACCATTCATTGCTGCAGAGTGGAACTTTGGGTAAGCCAATATGCATCACGACCAGTGGTCTAATGTCTTCATTCTATACTTCAACAGACTTACGAGATCAGTGATTATGTATATTAATCATTTAATCCTCAATCACCCAGTCTCTGATAGTTGTGAAAGGAAAACAAAATTATGACCTTGCATGAATTAAGGTTTAAAATTTTGATCCATGTATTTAATTGCTTCTGAAGTTGTCAAAACTCTGTGAACAATGTTTGAAAATTGAAATATTACGTTTTGCTGAAGAGAACCTTACTGTTGCCTTAATAATGCAGTGGAATACCTGTCTGGCTTCATTATGTGCCAGGTACCATTTTTCGGACGGACAATGAACCATTTAAGGTGCGTACATCATTGAAGCATAGCTATTAGATACTAAATCAAATTTGAATATATGTTACTAGTACATTTGTTCAGAGGATCATATATTCTTTCTGATAATCTGGAATGGAAATTCCAGTATTACATGCAGAATTTTATGACCTTCATAGTAAATCTGATGAAACAAGAGAGACTTTTTGCATCTCAGGGAGGCCCTATCATCTTGGCACAGGTACTTGTAGCTCTCAGCTCTCAACAGTAGGGTTTAAATCAGTGGTCTTCTATTTGAGTTATATATAACATGTAAAAGGAGTCGTGTCTAGTTTAATTAATATTTTTAATGCTTTACGCTTTAAAAGAAAACTTCCAAATGCTTCAGGGTAAGTGTATTATATTATGTGGCTTTACTTGTGATGATAAGTGGCAAGGAAAGCCACTTAATTCAGGATAATTGACTTTACTCTTTCAAATGATCTTTTGCTTGCCTGCTTAAGTTGTAACTCCTGATTTACGAATGTCTTGAAATTTCATGCATCTATCTTATGTATTTTACAGGTAGAAAATGAATATGGCTTCTATGAAGCAGCATATGGAGAAGGAGGTAAAAGGTATGCCTTGTGGGCAGCAAAAATGGCTCTTTCTCAAAATACCGGTGTCCCTTGGATAATGTGTGAGCAGTTTGATGCTCCCATCGAAGTGGTTAGTACTTGCTGCACCCCTGCTTCCATGTGGCACTTTCTGGCTAACATATTTGTTTAATTGTTCGGTCGTAGTTCAAAATGTTGTTATTATCTTCAGTTCATATGCATTCAGGTGTATTCATTCACTTCCCAAATATTGTTATCCATTAATATAAGATAGAATGTCTATATGAGTACTCATAATAAGAATGAAGGAACTCTTTGATTTTATAGATTGTAACATTACTTTGCCTTCTGCATAGTATGGATTACATCGTGGAATTAGCTTTTCCTGGCTCTTTCATGTGCTTATCTACTAGTACGGTACAGTGTTCATTTTGTAAATTAACATGTGTGTGCCATTTATTCCCTTCATTTCATTTAAAAATGAATAGTTTTCAATGGCTCTCTGACTTGCATTTAAAAGGATATTAATATTTATGTGGGATAATCCACTTCAATTCAAAACATTTATAGACATATTTCTTTGCAGATTGACACTTGCAACTTGTTTTACTGTGATCAATTCACACCACTCTCTCCAAACAAGCCCAAGATTTGGACAGAGAATTGGCCTGGATGGTAAGTCATTCATATTATCTCTCTTTTTCCTTTTTCCTATTGGTAGTAACATATTGGTTTAACGCAACATTTCATCATTTTAAACCCTTGAAAAGTAGGGAGCAAATGTGAAAACAATAAAACTGTCAGTTCATCCATGTTTTCTTTCTATTTGATGGTTAATCAATTATAAACTGACATCAGTTTTCTGGGTTATCTGTGGGTTGACCAACGAGGAGAATCCTAAATTCCTTACAATTAAGTCAATTTGTAGATCTAAATTGCTATTACATTACTGTCAACAGTAGTGGAAGTGTTCAGAGCATTATTGAAGCATAATTGTCTAAATTGCTATATTCACCAGCACATACCTTCAATTATATAATGTGAAAAATTTCAGGTTTAAGACATTTGGGGCCAGTGATCCTCACAGGCCTCCCGAGGACATTGCTTTTTCTGTTGCTCGTTTTTTCCAGAAAGGTGGAAGCGTACAAAACTATTACATGGTAAATTTATTAATTATTTCATTTCCTTAAGTTAATTTAATATGTATAAGTATTTGTGTTTCATTTAATGGTGCTTCAAATGATTGATGAGGAATTTTGCTCTTTTTATGTTCAACTCTTATTATTTACTTTTGTTCATTCATTAAATAGTATCATGGTGGAACAAACTTTGGTCGCACATCAGGTGGTCCATTCATTACCACAAGTTATGATTATGAAGCACCAATAGATGAATATGGTAAAGATAAAATATTAAATGATTTTTTGGTGTGCATAAGGTCTAAATGTTTCATTTTTAGGTAGACTATGATATTATCTATTTGTCTGATGTGGCTTCCAGGTCTAGCAAGATTTCCCAAGTGGGAACACCTTAAACAACTTCACAAAGCAATAAAGTTGTGTGAGCATGCTTTGCTGAATAATGAGCCCACCTTGCTCTCACTAGGTCCTTTACAAGAGGTGACTTCTAAATTCTAATTATTTTTGCCTTTGGGTTTGAAACTTTGAATATATGTTCTATAATTGCTCTCTCTCTACAAGGCAAGAGGCTTTAACCTTGTCTCTTTATTTATGTATTTATTTATTTTTTGTTATTATTATTGTTATTATGGTGGAGTGTGGAATAGTCAAGGAATAATTTTAAAACTAGACTCTACTAAAGAAGAAATTAGTCCTTATCTGTCACTGGTGTAAGCTCACTGAAAGATCAGTATTTTGTAGGCAGATGTCTATGAAGATGCATCAGGAGGATCTTGTGCTGCATTCCTTGCTAATACAGATGATAAAAATGATAAGGTGGTAGTATTTAGGAAAATGTCATACAATCTGCCAGCATGGTCTGTCAGCATTTTACCAGACTGCAGGAATGTGGTGTTCAACACAGCGAAGGTACCTCTAAATATCTGTACTTCAAACCATTTTAAATCAGGTTACTATTTGAGTAGTTTATATGAAGAGCTGACGTCTAGTTTAAAGTTCCCGATTGACAGGAAAATAAATTTTTGACGGGTTTATGAGTGAACATCAACGAAGCATATGTCTCCTTCTCCCATTTCCTGTAGTTTGCCAAAAGGATTTCTGCAGAAATTACAACTTTTTCTTATGAAACACATGAAGCTAGAGACCACTTCGTCTGAATGTTGTACACAATCAATTGTAAAAAGGAAATCTCGAATGGATAACAAAGAATGTTTCAACTTTCAACACACATGGAGCAATTTATAAGCAATCTAAAATCTTATAAGCTAAAAGATGTGCAAGAAGAAGATTTGTTATTGATTATCTGATTTGGAATCTAATTTTTATATTTTAACAGGTCAGCTCTCAAACTTCTTTAGTTGAGATGATACCATCAGATTTGCAGCCATCATCAGCATCACCAGTTAGGGGCCTGAAAGGTCTTCAGTGGGAAGTCTTTAAGGAAATAGCTGGAATTTGGGGAAATGCTGATTTCATAAGGCGTGGCTTTGTAGATCACATCAACACTACAAAAGATACTACTGACTACCTTTGGTACACAACAAGGTTTGTCTGACTTGTCTGATTTTGGAGTTGCTTATATATCATTCTCATTTAAGCCAAAATCACAGACATATTTGATAAGACACAGATTAAGTGGGAAGTCTAATATAAGGGATCATGAAAATTAGTTAACTGATGACCAACTTGACCTATTCTTACAGTTTGCTTAAGAATGTATGTGATCTTTTTTTTTTTTTTTTTTTTTTTTTTTTTTTTTTTTTTTTAATTCCTCGTTTTCTCTTTGTCCCATTAATTTTTGCATGCTTATTAATATACTACCTGAATGACTAGTCTTTTGACCAGCCATTAGACCTCAAAAGGAGTAGCTTGTAAACTAAACATGCTGAGAATTAATTCCAGATTCGTTTGACCAATTAAGCATATGTCCTTCAATATGCTTCTCACTTTTTATTAGTTTCTTTGCCACGAATATTTTAGTCCTACTGTATTTCAACTATTTGCATTTGAAACTAGCTTAAGTGCTTACAATTTTCAGTTATTGGCAGTTTGTTTGTTGATGAGAATGAGGAATCACTCATAAATGGAGGCAATGCTATCCTTCAGGTTGAATCAAAGGGCCATGTTCTGCATGTCTTCATCAATAAAATGTTTCAAGGTGAAGATTTTTTATCTTGAGCAAATTCCACTTTTAGTCCTTGACTATTGTGGCATTGCCACATTTAGTCCTATTCTTTTAATTTTGCCATTTAGTCTTATTCTTTCACAAATAACAAATAAAAAATCCGATTACTCAATTAGGCTATAATGAACATGAGCCAAACCACACTAAAAGATTGAATCCAACCAATTAGCTAGCCTAACCCATGGCCCTATAAGCCCATATATTCTCTCTTATTTTATTGATGTGGGACTCTTAACATGATGAAATAATTTTACTTGCACTGTGCTTGGTTCTCTCAGCTACTGCATCTGGAAATGGTTCAGTACCATCGTTTAAACTGCGAAGCCCTATTTCCCTCAAGGCAGGGAAGAATGAAATTTCTCTACTAAGCATGACCATGGGCTTACAAGTATGTTACTGAAAACTTTCTTCATATAATGTAGATGTACTCCCTCATATAACATTTAAGTCAATGCCTAACAGATGAGGAAACCATATGTCCATCCAGTCTATAGTGCCATTCCAAATTGCTATAGCTGGTTTACTTTTTGCTTATTGTATTGTTTGTTTGTTTTTTTTTTTTCCAAATGGAGATATCATGAAAGTTTAGAACAAATCTGTAGAACGTATATGTAGACTACTAAATGTGTATGTATTGAACTATATGATCAAGGAACTGTACAAGATACGTATTTATACATGCTAGCAGAAGGGTCATCCATGCTCTCAACCACTCATTTCAAGTTCAAAATGAGTAGTTGAGAGCTATTCTCTCAACCTCCCTCAATCTCTTCTAACAAAATGCATTGAGTCAAGAGGAAGCTCTTTATAGGAGAATTATACTTTTATGGCAAACTAATCAAAAAAGGGGTAGGATGGGGCCTGGGGGAATGGAAATAATTTTTTACTAGACCTAATGCAATAGTTTCCTTTTCATCATGCATTGCATTGAGTCATAATTAAAGTGTCCTCTTGGACATGTTTATCGTAGTAATGGATCAGTATGATTGAAATTCATTTACCATTTGCAGTATGTCCAGTTGTAGTTCTACCAAGGTATTAGATAGAAAAAAGTAAATAAATAATAGAACTTTTTAAGAATTGCTAATATATGATGTGAAAAGCATGCATTGGACCTAACAAATGGTTTGTAGAGAACCAATAAAATTGAGATTTCTTGTTACCAGGATAATGCAATTTAAAGCTACTTTTTTTTTTTTTTTTCTTTAATGGTGGCATATTCTGTTATTAAGATGGCAACTAGTTCCCCAGATATTAGAAAAGATTTGTTGCATCAGAAGAAGAAAATATAGCTGATTCATTTTTTTTTATGAATTGATTGGAATAATCGATTGCTGAAACTCGATCAGTTTGTCTTGATGAATGTTGCTATTTAGTTTCTCTATATTACCCTTACAGCTAACTGTTTTTGTTCTATAGAATGCTGGATCATTTTATGAATGGGTTGGGGCAGGTCTAACGAGTGTAAAAGTTGAGGGGTTCAAGAATGGGACAGTTGACTTGTCTTCAAACACTTGGACCTACAAGGTACTCCTTTTTCCCGTGTACCCATTTGTGCTGGTTTCCATTGTTTGTCATAAATGCAAAAAAAAAAAAAAAAAATGTCTTTTATTTTCTTGTTAATTCAGAGTAGGCATACTTCTAATCGTAATTTCATACTAGGAAACCATTCTTTGACAGCAATAATTTGTTGACATAAAAGGCCATCTGTCATTTTTTGTTGTTGATCTGATGGATCAATGTATTACTTTCTATAATTTGTTAGGAAGTCATTACTACAGATTTATAAATCGAGTTCCTCAATGAAAGATGAAGCACTAGATGTTTGATGCAAAATGCTCTCAAATATAGCCCCTTCATCTCTAATTAATACGCAGATTGGGTTAAAAGGAGAAAGCCTGAGGATATATGAGGGATATGGTTTGAACAGTAAAATGTGGGTACCAACTTCAGCACCACCAAAAGGACAACCCCTAACATGGTATAAGGTAAGAAGCAATTCAAATCCTTTGCCTCTGAAGTGTGTTTGAATCCTTAACTATATGCTCGTGTGAGAAGAAAGATATATGATCAATTGTGATATTGCAGGCTGTGGTTAATGCTCCACCTGGAGATGAACCTGTTGGACTTGACATGATCCATATGGAGAAAGGCATGGCTTGGTTGAATGGAGAAGAAATTGGTCGATATTGGCCCAGGAAAAGCTCTAAAAATGATAAATGTGTTCTTCAATGTGACTACAGAGGCAAATTCAGCCCTAACAAGTGTAACAAGGGTTGTGGAGAACCCACACAAAGATGGTAAGACCAGGTGTAACAATTAAAGAACGCTCAAAGCATGATTTTTTTTTTTTTTTTTTATATTAGTCTCACCCGAAGAATGATAAACTTGGCCATTTTATGCAATTAGGTACCATGTGCCACGGTCATGGTTCAAGCCAGCAGGAAACATCTTGGTGATCTTTGAAGAAATAGGTGGAGACCCTACACAAATTAAATTCTCTCTCCGAAAAGTCTCAAGCATCTGTGCTCATGTTCCAGAAGATCACCCTTCCCTTGATCTTGAACATCTACAACATGGTGAAATTGAGAAAAACATAGGAAAGCCAACTCTTAAATTGAAGTGCCCAACGAATACTCGAGTTTCTTCGGTTACATTTGCCAGCTTTGGAACTCCTACCGGCACATGTGGCTCCTATACTGAAGGAAACTGCCATGACCCAAACTCTGTCTCATTGATCAACAAGGTATGACAGTATGCCTTTCTGAAACTACTCTACAAGCAGTCAAGCATTATTAGTACAACGATTATGACATATTGATGTGCTCTGTTATAATCCAAGTGTTATATTGTTCTGTTGGGCGGAGGCCGGAGGCCGGTAAAAGGTCAAGTCCATCAATTGGAGGCTAGGAGGATTGTTGGGTGGAGGCTGGTGAAGGGCCAAGTCTAGCATCCTGCCTCTCGAAAATGTGATTGCGGTCTTTAAGGAAATAAAATTATTTCTTCGCTACGAGCTATAGCTTTTGGCGTTTGTGTAGCTTGGGGGGGGGGGGGGGGGGGGGGGGGGTAGAGTTGTTGGCGGAGGCTGGTAAAGGGCCAAGTCCATCAATCGGTGACTAGGGGGATTGCTAGGCCATTGAAAGGCCAACTCCAGCATCCTGCCCGGCGCTTGATACTAACAAGGTCTAGCAACTCCATTTTTTTCTGTAGTGACTTCTGAGTTCTATAACTGTTGTTTTGCAGGCTTGCATGAACCAGAGTAAGTGTGCAGTAGAACTCTCTAATGGGAATTTTAATATGGGATTGTGCCCCAACACAACAAAAATACTTGCAGTTGAAGTCCAATGTAGCTGAAGGATGCGTATTACCTTATATTATATTCAGCAAAAAACTATGTTATTATTATGTTGTATTTTCTTTTTACTGTTCTTTTAGTCGATTGTCCAAGCAATAGTTACAGCCCAATATGTAGATAGTATCTGTGTTTGCATTTGTCCCCTTTAACAAGCATAGTTGGTTTGTCTTTGAGTTGAGCAAGATGAGCGAGTAAAGATCTTTTAAGAAACATGTATAAAGATGTAATTCTATGGTTTCACAAAGGTTATTGTAAACTAGAAGAATATGAGGTAAAACACAATGAAATTTAAATCCATTCCTCTCTATCATAGATTAGGAATGGAAATGTGGTAAGGGTGAGGCATGGAATGCCCGCCTTTGCATTCCCGTCTCGCATATGCACTCGTGTAGGTATGTTGGGAAAAATGCAACGTCAGTGCGTGATCTAGAAGCCTTTTAAGAAACATGGACACTACTGGTGTATGGTTGAAAGAAAATCTGTGCCGTGTTATAATAACACTACCTTAAAAGCGTTATTTGCCCGGTAACGGTGCAGTTAGAAACCAGACAAGCTTTTGACAGGCTACACAGACCAACTACGGATAGCTTGCACTAACAATCACGTAGGCGAACCTCACTATTGCTCAGACTTTAATAGGCAGACACGAATTATATATATATATATATATATATATATATATATATATATATATATATATATATATTATAATATAGAGTTAAATCCACTTTTGGTCCTACATTTATTGTGTGATGGACACATTTTGCCCAACCTTTTTAAAAGGCGGACACTTTTGGTTTATCGTTACATTTGTTGTTAAACAACCGTGAGGTGGGAGGGCAATTTTGTCCTTTCACGTGTTATTCTTCGTCTGTATTACTTCGGTCATTTTGGTTGAGTTACCGTGTTGTGTTCCCAACTCCGATGTCACTTTCATGGTGGATTTGTCGATCTCTGTGTTGGCACTGGAACGAAGCGAAAACAGAGTCCTCGGAGTCGGCGATGATGTTGACCCGAGCCTTGTAAATTCTAGGGTCCAGAATCAAGTTCTGACCCTATCGCTGCAATATCCGATCTGAGTTGCGACTTGATGCCGTCGGATAAAACCTTGCTGCCGCCACTGTTATGAAATACAACCAAGGCAAACACTGGTTAATTTTTACTACAGGTAAACAATATTAGGGGATATAGAAGCATTTAATTATTTATTGTAACATAGCAAAATTGTGTGTAGTCGCAGTATTAATTACGGCGTAATATTTTTTCAAGCATTTAATCGCAAAATTCCTTCTCCGTCGCCGGCCAGAAGATCCTCCCCGACTGGGGGTACGGCCGGATATACACGGCGGCGGTGGTGACGTGTGGAAATACCCATTTACGAATTACGATTGTCTTCTTCTTTCTGCATGTAAAGATTTTAAGAACAGTAAAATCTTGAATCACATAAGCCGAAGCCGGAAAAATGTCGCCACCGATTCTTGAAGCTTTCAAGAAGAGGAAGAAAACTCTGAAGTTCTTCGGTCTCCACAGTTTTGCAGAGGCGGGGTACCCCATTTTTCCCACCGGCCCGTTTGTCGACAACATCTGATTCTTCCTTCAAGAATGTGTCGAGCTTGAGGACTACGAAGTTGAAAGAATGCCCAGCTGGATTACATTTCTGGTCCATGAAAGCAAGGATTTTGCAGCTCCTCTGTACAACATTGAAGGCCCAGTCCGTATACTCATCGTCGATTTTTGTTGATTGTTGAAATTGGTTTTGGGGAATTGAGGTTTTAACTTTATTGTATTTTGTTTGTTCTAGGGTTAATGGGAACTCTATTTCAAGTTGGAGCCAATTGCAGTTATAGATTCAGAAGCCGCGATTTGTTCCGAGAACAAAGCAGCCGTGGTTCTGGTTAAAGGAGAGGCGGAGGAGGGAAGGGGGAAAGGAATCAACGGGGGGAGAAACATGGTTAATAGGGTTAACATTATGTGTTGTTGCGGTGGTGAGGTTTGGGAGCGTCGGCGTCGGGAGCATAATAGTCAGCCATGAATGGGGGAGATGAGAAGCAGGACAAAAATGAAAAGACTTGAAAGGACAAAATTGCCCTCCAACTTCACAGCTGTTTAACAACAAATGTAACGGTGGACCAAAAGTGTCCACCATTTAAAAAGGATGGGCAAAATGTGGCTGAATTAATAAAACCGGGCAAAATGTATCCATCACGCAATAAATGTAGGACCAAAAGTGGATTTAACTCTATAATATATATATTAATTCTTACATAGAAAGAAGGAAGAGCCTTTTTTGTGTGTTTTGGACAAAAAAAAAAGGCTTGCCTCTTTTATAGTGTAGAGGTAAGAGGAGCTCAAATCACTCCACCCACACACTAACTACAAAAGTGGGGACCAAGTGGAAATAACCACATGCTTTGTCCGAAAAAAATGTCCTTTGAATGGATAAATTCCAACAATCCCCCACACATTCAAAGTAAAATGCTAGAGGGAAACAATGTATGAGCAATACAAATGAGCTGATCTTAATGTCAGTGTTTGAGAACTTGAACTGACGCGTAGTGACACTGAGTAATTTTCTTCCCGAGAGTGATATGAATCTTGAACTCACTGGTTAGATAAATTTTGAACTCGAATACACACACCAACTCAAAAAGTAGGTTCTACAAAAGTCAAACTCTTTGACTTCTTATGAACACCCTTAGTATTAAAGAATGTTATGTCTGTCTCAAATATAGACTTCTACCCTGTCAAAGTCTATCACAACATAGACTTTTAACTCTGACAAGTCTTACTGCATTACAGATTTTTATGTCTTATCAAGTCTATCTCAATATAGACTTCTAACTCTATCAAGTCTATCTTAGTATAGACTACCATTAAAGGCTTATAGAGTAGTTAAAGACATAAATCAGTTGTAAGTCTTTTCTTTCTATCACAGGCACTGTTATTTGCAACGCAAACGACAGTTTGTGAATCACAATGTGGTGGAGGTGTTGGACACCCCCACAACTGCACGGTTATCACCATGTTTCTTAGCCACTCAGCTTCTTGGGATAACCCCATTATCTTTCATAAGAGGCGGTTAGCCCTTTTCTACTCAAGTTAGGGATCTCTTTAGGTATACATCAACATAGACCACCCCAATTGAGTATAAGTCACCAAGAGCACTTTGTACTCATGTCATTATGCGGTGAATTCATTAGGTTTGTCTCAACAAAACCATCATTTCTCAAAGAGTTATGAATTCATTAAGAGCTGTAGCTCAACCTCACAAGTCACAAGTACACACACTGTAGGAATGACCAACTAGTGTACTATTTTGTAACTCTTTTCATGGCTTCATTTGACCACAGAAGTGGGACCCACCACGAATTCATTACCACTTGGACTTTAAGTCCTTCCAATGATTCGGCGACTAATCCTCATAATTAGCCCTCAAGTAAGTAGATTCTCTTGATCAAACTTACATGCACTTTGACGAGTACTTCGTTTACTCGTAAATAATCCCTTGAGATTTTCATGCTTAACATGAAACATTCTCTTTCACCATTATTTTCAATACCACAGAGAAACTTTTGATGAAAATATAAGGAGTTAATTACCCCCACAATGCAACACTTACAAATATTTTTGTAAAATGTATTTGATCTCTTACCCAGACTGATCTTTGGTGCCCAACATTAGCTCCTTTGTAGACTGAGTTTTGCCGATTTGCTTTGTGGAGCATTATAGAAGCTTCGCACTCTGCCTGATACATACTCAACAGTTGAATATATTTTAACAAACTTGGTTATCTCAACTGATCATAATTACCCTTTAACTAGGAATTATAAGTATTTCAATATGACTCAACCAAGAATTTAAATAATATATATACAAATGCTCATTGTCAGTAAGCCATAGAAATAATGTTGTCCACATGCTACATCAAGTTGAACAACATAATCATAAATTTCACATCATATTCTTATAAGAAATTAATCTCATACACAAGGAATATGTTCGAGCTCATATTTATTCAGAAATATCTCTCAACAATGAGACTTCAGAGTTGCCACTTGCACAATTTTCCATTCCCTTGAGGAAATTAAAACTCATATAAAGCATTCATAGGATGCAGATCAATATTACTATTGCAGTACTTCAACAATTTCTATTGCAAGGCTTTGATTGTTTAACAACATATGAAAGTCAACATCATTTCAAGTGAAGATCAAGTGGCACTCTAACTAGCCTGCATGATCAACGCCCTACTTCTTTAGTACTCCCAGGTCGAGTGGTGAAACCGAAGTTCACTTAAAAACCACCTTCCTAGACAGAGTATTCAAGAGTGATGACTTTTCCATGTTCTCATTAAATTACAATTGAAGCCTATGATGTATGCTCTTATTTTGTATACAAATAATCTTAGTAAAAAAATTTGAGCAATATCTATGCACAGATTATTTCAATCAATGTCATTAGTATTCAACATACTAAAGAAGTAAGTACTACAAAGTAATCAAAATCTAGACAACTCAACTAGAATTCAGTACTAAGACAATCATACTTCATGCGAACCCTTAGAACTAGAGCAAATATAGTTACACAAAAATAACTACTTATTTAAAGAGACTCAATACTCATCTTATTCTGTCAGATTGACTTTTGCTAGTTTTGCCTTGTGATGGTAGCACTGGTGTGCTCGGTGTCCTTGCTTTCCGCACGCAAAACACCTTCCTTTGAACTTCTTGATTTTTCTACTCCTTTTGTTGTAGACGGTTCTGACACTTTGATTTTCAGTTTCATTGGCACCGTACTTTTCTGACAGTGATTCACAAATGACTTTTGTCGAGTCTTGTTTGACATAGATGTCGAACAAATCGTCATTCATTTGTGACAGAAGGTATCCTCTGGCTGTCGCATTGTCATTTCTAAACTGCATCAGAGTTACACGCGGTTCTTGACTCAGAATGTAATATATTTCAGGACTGCTTTCTCTTGATTCTTCACCCGGAGTGTAATCAGATTCATGGTTAGCTTTTGTAGCACCAAAAGGAGAGAACACTGTTGGAGTAGGTTCAGGTGCAACTGAATATAGCACGTAAACCAACTTTAATTGTTCAAAGAGAATATGCATTCTTTGAGCCCACCTACTGTAATTTTTCACATCAAGTGCGGTGATTTTTGATAGATCGGGTATGACAGAAGGTGCCATAATGCTAAAGGTTGACTGTTGCACGATTAACGCTTATAACTGTTGGGAAAAATGCAACGTCAACGCGCGATCTGGAAGCCTTTTAAGAAGCACGAACACTACTGGTGTATGGTTGAAAGAAAATATGTGTCGTGTTATAATAACACTACCTTAAAAGTGTTATTTGCCCGGTAACGGTGCAGTTAGAACCCAGACACGCTTTCGACAGGCTATACAGACCAACTACGGATAGCTTGCACTAACAATCACATAGGCGAACCTCACTGTTGCTCAGACTTTAATAGGCAGACACGAATTATATTATATTATATTATGTGTATATATATATATATATATATATATATATATATATATATATATATATATATTAATTCTTACATAGAAAGATGGAAGAACCTTTTTTGTGTGTTTTGGTCAAAAAAAACTTGCCTCTTTTACAGTGTAGAGGTAAGAGGTGCTCAAATCACTCCACCCACACACTAACTACAAAAGTGGAGACCAAGTGAAAATAACCACATGCTTTGTCCGAAAACAATGTCCTTTGAATGGACAAATTCCAACAATGAAATCCCTTCTCCATTCTTTTCCATGTGAGAATTTTATAGGTGTAGGGAATCTCCATTTGACAATCGTATATACTGAATATTTAATAACATAGCATGAATTGATATGTCAAATATACTTTGAGAGCAAGATTCTAGACATAATTATGTCTTGTACACTTTATAGATGATATTGATATTATTTAATTTGTTTAGTTAGATAATATTACAAGAGTTTGAACCTACTCTCAGTCATAAAGAAAACATCGTGAATTTAAAACTTATGAAGACATCGTGAATTTAAAACTTATGAAGACATCTTGCAAAGTTTTGAAGCTTATTTAGAGATCACCATGAAGAGATCTTGAAAATCTTATTCAAATATCATTCCTTCTAAAATCCTTTAGAAGATGCTCAAAGTTCTATCTTGAACATTCAGAAGAAAACTTAAAAGTTATGCAATGAAACTATAGTGTATGGATTCATAAGTTTTTCTTGTATTTTTTATTGAGATACCTCAATTTTAGTTACATGTGAACTCTTTTTGATATTTTGACATAGTAATTGTTGTGTACTTGGGTGTTTGATGAAGCATACTCAGAATACTTAGTTGATGATGGATGCTCTCAATCAAGGAGGACTTTATTGTCTTTTCTCTCCTTCCCATTTCTGTTATAACTGCGACTGCAGTTTGTATATAACAGTGGTTCTCTTTCCTTTTCAAGCTAAGCTTTGTACTCTTCTCAATTCATCAATAATGCACACCATCCTCCTTTCTCTGATTATCACTTTTACACTCATGAGTAATTGAGTTTTCCACATGGTATCAGAGCTTCGCCGAAGCTACGCTGCCGTCATAACGATGAACACCGGAACTAATTCAGCCGGAATCGGAAACACATCTCCAAATCAGAACACGGCGAGTCAAGGTCCGAATCTGCGAGGAGATGAAGTCAATGATCCAATCTACCTTCACGTGACTGAGAATCCTAACCTGATTCTCGTTTCTCCTCCTCTGACGGAGCTCAACTATGCTTCATGGAGCAGATCTATGAAGATAGCCTTGCAAGTGAAGAACAAGTTTGGTCTAGTTGATGGCTCAGTACCTTGTCCAGAACAGTCAGACTCCAGATTTGCTACCTGGACCAGATGCAACAAAATTGTGTGTCCGTGGATCCTTAGATCCGTTAACTCCACCATCGCTGAGACAGTCCTCTATTATGAGAAGGCAGAAGATATTTGGATCAAGCTCAGAGATAGATACTCACAAACTGATCCACATAGGATAGCTGAACTGCAGAATGAAATATACAAGAATACTCAAGGTAACAACTCTATAAATGAATATTTTATAAAGTGCAATGCTCTATGGGAGCAGATGAAGGCAATGAGGCCTCTGCCAGTGTGTGAATGTAACCCTAGATGTTCATGCAAGCTGCTAAGCAAGATACAAAAGGAGAAAGAGGATGATCAGGTTATCAGGTTCTTAGAGGGATTGAATGATGAGTTTGAATCTATAAAATCAGGAGTCCTAATCATGGATCCAATCCCAACCATGGAGAAAGTCCTTAATATGGCTCTGAAAGTGGAAAGGAAAATAAATGGATCTCTCAATCAAAGGAACACTGAAGTGGTTCAATCCAATGCAGTCCAGAACACTCAAGGACAGTCCACAGAAGACAGTGGAACTGTGGCCTTCTCTGCTTCAAATAACAAGAAGAAATTTGGCAACAATGGTGGAAAGAATGTGGCCAAGTGCACATACTGCAACATGAGTGGCCATACTGTTGAGAAATGCTTTAAGAAGCATGGTTATCCTCCTGGTTGGATACCAGGATACAAGTCTAGAAACAGGCAAAGCCAAGATGCTCAGAACAATGCTGTCAATCAGATTGGGGACATAGGGCTATCTGCTGAGCAATTCCAGAGACTTGTGAGTCTATTACATGGTCAGAACCAAGAGAAACCAGCCTCCTCAAATGCAGCCATAACAATGAACAACTATGAAAAGAAATCAGGATCTAATGAAGGCATGTTCATTTCTGATCCCCACATTAATAATGTCATATCTTCTTCTGCTATATGGATTCTAGATTCAGGTGCTACTGATCACATTACTTGCTCATTAGACTATTTTGAAAGGTATCACAGAGTTTGTGGAGTTTCTGTGAAATTGCCCAATGGAGGAATAGTAAGTGTGACACATATAGGTGATATCAGACTGCAGTTAAACCTAGTGTTAAACAATGTGTTGTTTATTCCTTCATTCACATTCAATATTATCTCTGCTAGCAAGTTAACCAAACAAGGGGCCTGTAAAATCATAATGAATACTGATTCCTGTAACATTCAGGGTCCTTTTGGGATGATGGATGGTTTTGCTGAACAAAGGAATGGCTTATATGTGATCACTGATCCACCAAAGAGAAAGAACTATCAGATTGATGAGATGATGAAATGTAATGGTGTATTTTGCATTTATGGCATTATAGGTTAGGACATTATCCTGTGAGTAGGATATCATCCTTGAATGGAACAAATGATGGTCAATTCTGTAAACCATCTGATTTTGTTTGTGAAACATGTCATTATGCAAAACAAAGAAGATCTGTTTTTCCAATCAGTAGTTCCAGGTATAAAAAATGCTTTGACCTTTTACATATGGATGTCTGGGGGTCATTCTCTGTTGCATCTATAAATGGAGAACACTATTTTTTGACAATTGTGGATGATTATAGTAGATTCACTTGGTTGCATCTCATGAGAAATAAATCAGAGGTAAAGACCTTGTTCAAGAATTTTTACAACTATGTTCAGACTCAATTTTCCACTAAGGTTAAGGCCATAAGGATAGATAATGGGACTGAGTTTTCAATGAATAATTTTTGCAATGAGATGGGAATTGTGCATCAGAAATCTTGTGTCTATACACCCCAACAAAATGGGGTGGCAGAAAGAAAGCATCAACATATCTTGAATGTAGCTAGGGCTCTCATATTTCAGTTTGGAGTACCTATGGAATTTTGGAATTATTGTGTTATGCATGCCATCGACCGGTTCCCTTCTTGATCTTCTATTCTCTCGAAAAGAATTTCCTTGTGGTGATCCTTTGTTCTTTTGCATGAACTTCTTGAATTTCCTAACAAATAAGGAAAATTGTTCGTCAGATAAAAAATCATTATTTACGACTGACCTTGATGAGGAAGGTTGTTCGGCCATCAGTGCGGATGTTCGTTCATCACGTTCTTCTTCATTTTGTGTCTTCATCTCGAACTCATACGCCTTTAGATCACTAAAGAGTTTATCCGTAGATAATGTCCTTAGATCTCTATGATCGCGCATTGCGGTCACCTTCATATCCCAATTTGTAGGTAGTCCGCGTAACACTTTGAGCGATATTTCCTTCTGGGTAATGGTCTTTCCCAGATCCGTGATTTCTCCAAGTATTTTGATCAATCGAGCTTCCATGTCGGTGATGCTTTCGTTTGGTAGCATTTTGAAATCTTCGAACCTCTTCATGGCAATGGTTAGTTTGTTGTCTTTTTCTTGTTCGTCGCCTTCACCGATACTAATCAGAGTATCCCATATTTCTTTTGCTGTGGTGCACTTTCGAATCTTTGGGAATATGGTGTCATTGGCCGTTTTGAACAAAATGTCCTTTGCAATATTGTCCAAGTTATTGCGTCCTCTATCTTCCTTTGTCCAGGCCACTCCATTTTTGGCTTTGGAATATATCGTGGAGCATTTGGATCACGTGGGGTAGCGGTATTAGCTTCCATAATTTGGATAGGGCCATTTGTGATGACTTCCCACATTTCGTCATTTAAAGCAGATAAGTGCACCTGCATACGTATTTTCCAATCATCAAATTTATCAAGTGAGAAAAGCAAATTTTGAGCGAGAACCATATCTCTCTTCATCTTGAAGTTTCGAGATCTGCCTAGCAGTCAAGAAATGACTCAAATAGACAACCTGGCTCTGATACCACTTATTGGTCCCGAAAGGGTGGCGAGAAGTCTAGAGGGGGGGGGGGGTGAATAGACTTCTCTCGCTTTTTCAACTTCTTTTGCAAACAACACTTTGGTAACTTCAACTCTAAGTAACAAGCATAAACAAGTATAACAACTTAGAGTGTGCATAGCGGAAAATGTAACGGCAAAGTGTTATGCTTTAATTGTGTAGTGCTCAAAGAGAGATTCTATACATGCATCACGTTAGAAACACTTAATATAGATGTAGGATGATGTATATAAAATTTCACTTGTATGCAAACGAGGGAACTATCAAACCCAGACAGATAAAGATACGCAATAAACCGTAACAGGTTAGTTCACAGTTGGTATAAGCATGCACGAAATTAAATGAGCAGTAAATAAATAGAGAGAGAGATTTATAGTGGTTCAGAGTTGGTGTAATCCTCCTAGTCCACTCTTCTCCTTTCACTTCAAGGAGGAAATTCACTATTCTTCGATCACCCAGATACAATAGTGAATAAGTGCCCAACGACACTTCTCCGAGTGCTTCGCACAAAGCTACACTCCACCAAGGTTTTTCGCAAGCTCCTCTTGTTACTCCGCCTTCCCGAGTACTTCGCACCAAGCTGTACTCCTACACCACGAGAACTACGCACAAAGCTACGCTGTCACCGGGTTTTCACAAGTTCCCCTTGTTACTCTACCCTTTACAACCGAGTGCTACGCACAAAGCTACACTCCAACTGGGGTTTTCACTCTCTCCAGTTACTCTACCCCTTTTCTACACTCAGTAGAAGATTTACAATGAAATATAAAGATTTCTTCTCTCAGACTTGAATTCTATCTTATATAGCTCAATATACCACTTGATGATTGTAGAATTTGTTTTTTGTAAATCCGTGCTTGTCTTCAAGTCTGTTTGGGCATTTTATAGCCAATGAAAGCTATTTGCCCGTTGATCAACTTTCGATCTTGATCGTCCATTTTGAATTGTAGTTGATTAAATAATTTTGCCAACTTGGTCTGCAAAGTCATTTCGCCGTCTGTCAGAAGATTTGAATAAATTTGCCGTTGCTCCTCTTTAATCTGACAAAGCTTTTCCTTGGAATGGGTAGCCTCCAAATTTGAATTTCTCTGGCATGACTTTTGTTGAATTATTGATCTGATGTGCCAAGTTGATCAAATAATTTATCTGCTGATTCTTGATTGAGTATTAAAAAGATTTCCTTCGTATATTAGCTTCTTCTTCTCCTTCGACTTCTTCTGCAGAAACAGAGCTTCAAGAGAATGTTTTTGTCTAATTCTATCATGATGTCATAGCTCCTTTTGATGATGTCATGTCCCAATAGTGTATCATGTTCCACCTTGCATCATGGACTATATATCATGTTCCACCTTGTATCATGGACTACTATCATGTTCCACCTTGTATCATGGACCAGATATCATGTTTTCATAAAATTGCTTCAAATGGGAATCAAACTATGGACCATTTGCTTTACTTGGCAAAGTTTCTTCCATCTCAGTTGGGTAACCTATTGATACAATCCAAGACTTAAATTCTTTTGTCTTGTCTCTTCCACGTGTTCTCCACTAGCCATACCACACTGTGACGTCATCACCCGATAGTAGTGACATCATCATCCGATAATTTTAACTATCATGATATAAAATTGTTCTTTCATGATAGTATTACTATCATGATATTTTCTTTGTGACATCATCTCCTGATATTGCTACTTCACGATAGCAATTCATCTTTACACCAAAATTGCTTCCAATAAGAATCAAACTGTGGATCATCTCACATTAGGCATGCTTCAACAAGTCTTCTACCATCTCGTCCATCTCAACCTTTAGTGATTTGATGCTTCATAAATGTGTTAAGCTATGATCCCGTTTTCATTTATTCTTCCTTCAAACTGCTTTCACGTAGACTTCATGTAGGCTTCATGGCAGTGGTGCACTATACTTTGTGAACCAGAACTGACTCAAATGAAATAAAATTGGGGTCTACAAAATACATTTGGCTCATCAAAACTTATACAATATATTCCTAACAATTTCCCCCTTTTTGATGATGCCGAAACTTATACCCAAGTCATTTGGCTATGTCAATTTTGAAAAATAATCTTTTTGTCCAATTTTATTGCGACTAGCCATTTGACGGGTTTAACACATTTAAGACCTAGAGATTTTAATTTTGGACGGTCCTAAACGTATATTGAGATTATAACGCGGGGTTGCGTATTGATTTTTATCTTTTAATTTTTCTTCCCCCTTTCAATTTTATTTCTCAATTATACACCTCACATGCAATTACTAAGTCCAATTTAAAATCTTGAGACTTTAAAGCAATAAACATACTAGACACAATAAAGAAATAAACCATATGCTAGCAATTTATATTATGTACCAAAAGGCATAATTCAAACAAGCTAGCTATTATGTATACCAAAAAATTGAGGCTTCAAAATTTTACCTCTTGCCAATTAAGGCATTCACGTGTGCCCTTAATTCCTTGAAGTCTTGTTCTTTTCCTTCGAGTTGGTATGGTGCGGTGACTTGCTCGGTAACATAATTTCCATAAGCTTCTTGAATATTGTCACCCCGTAACACTCCGGCTTGGTACCAAGCAACGCATTCTTCAAATGATCTTCCATCCACCATTTCGTTACTTGTGTGCCCAAAGAATGTCTCCAACTCTCGTATAAGCTTTAATTTGTTTTCTTCATAAATTGATCTTGAAGGTGATGATTTTTGGCATTCTTGTTGGCTAGGAAAGTCCGAGCTTTGAGCGGTCACAAGATAATCCATTATCCTCCTTTTTCCTCGGCCTTGAACCTTCGGTGTGGGTGTGGCTCCTCTCGGTGCTCCTGGAGGTCGAATAAGCTCAACTAGTGGCCGTTGTGACGACGGTCCAATCAAGTGGTTCACCAAATGGCTTGGGGCTCCTCTAGCTCTTTCCCCCTTTTCGGCAGCATCAACATAGTGTTGGAAACTCGCCGAAGCTTTGTCTTGGCTCCTTTGGACTCCAATTAAGAGATCATTGTTCACGCCAACTTGGTGTAGTAGAGCTTTCAATTGATTCTCCACTAATCGTAGCCTAGATTCACACTCCGTTCCTTTCTTTCCAAAGTCAAGGAACATCTTCAAGACTTCCCTATTTTGCTCTTCTTGCTTAGTAGACATTGTGGCCATATCGCCTTGCATTAATCCTTGTCCAAGTAACAAGGATTCGGCCCTTTCATAAGCTTTCTTGTGAAAGTCATCTAATTTGGTATCAACATTACCAAATTGATTTTGGACTTTCTCAAACTCTTGAAAGACATCTCCTCTCAATTCTTGAATTTCCTTACGTACATCTCCAATAATATTTTCTTTCAAAGCATCAATATTAATGGATGAAGAATGTACCTCCTTGTGTGGTTCCTCTCGTGGTTGTCTCGGCATGGATGGTGGTTCCACGTATGGTGCATTGTCAAGACACAAGAGTGTATGCTCCATTGGTTCGGTAGTGGCT